TTTGAATTAAAAAATTTAGGTCATAATTTTATAATAAAATTTATAAGGAATTGCCTTAGATATTTTTATTAATATCTTTTTTTCTCTAATTTCTATAAACTTTTAAAAAAAAATATCTGTTGGGCCCACTTATACCCATTTAACCCGCGGGTCGGGACCATTTAGTCCGAGATCATTAGTTCGTGGGCTCGGGTCCGAACCGGTTCCTACAAAAAGACCATCACGACACCAGATGTTGAAAGCTTAAATTATTGCTCTACATAGTATCTAAAGTTTTTCTTCCTCCCGTTTCCATTGAGGATATTGATTCATTGGTATTAAAATCAAAAGCAGTACATGAGCATACGCTCAGCAAACGTATAAAGTGGGCCAGACTTTAGCTGATCCTCTTCTTCACATTTCGGGTTTCTTATGAAACAAAGTCAGAGATAACGTGCGTCTACTCCAATACATCTATTGCCTGGCCTATGAGATATTTTGAAGTCGACAAACTCTTAAATAATCTAGCTAGTCCTAATAGTAATAGATATGGATAAGATATCAATAAAGTTGCTCGTTATAATGGATCTCCAAGGGAAGGGTGGAAAAGGCAAAGGTGTTACCGGGTAAAAGAAATGAAATGAAGGGAAAAGGCAAATGTGGAAATTTTCATTCTCCTGTTTTCTAGACTAGATTGTATTACTCTAGCTAGTGTATTTTATTCACACATAATTATTCGTGCATATATTATATATATATCTTAAATGTATAAAAATTGGTATAATGTCCATTCTAAAAGTAGAGTTTAATTAGTAGGTAGGGCACCAAGCTCCCTTCTCTTTTGATATTTATTTTTTAATTAATAAAAGGGAAAAGGCTCAAAACTATCCTTGTGGTTTTCGAAATGACTTATCTGTACCCTCCGTTTGAAAATGAGGTCACGTGTAACCTTGCCGTTAAACAAGTGGTCCACTGATACCCTTCTCGACTAACGGCTCCGTTTTGGGCCCTTTGTTTTTCCTCAAAAAATTCACATCACGACACGTGTCCTCCAAAATAATCCTCAATTTTTTTCTTACATGCCCCTCACTTATTTTACCCACCTTTTCCACCCCATTTACCGCATCCGCATCAGATCCCCAACAATACTTCACCACAAAAATTTATCATTCATTAGTCTTTCATTTTTGTCGAAGCAGAGTTACTTTCAATGGCGGAGACAAATTGAACCAAGGGGTGTCAAGCGATACCCCTTCGCCGAAAAATTACACTATATTACTAGATAATTTTTTTTATTTTATGTATATTTACTATACGTTGATTCCCTTTAATTTTTCGATATATCTAATTATTTATAATTTGACACTCCTTGATGAAAATTCGGGCTCCAACACTGGTTACTTTATCTTGATAATTAATGAGACCTAAATATTTGCAAGTGAAATTGCATGTAATATAATTCAACCGGGCAT